ATAACATCAACGGAGGCGGTTCATCAGACCACCATTAAGACATCCCGCATCCATGGCCTTACTACGGGAGATGTTTGAAGTTGTGGGTGCAGAAAAATGATTTGTGGTGAATGTACTATGATCATTTTTGTTTGATTTGTTTCGGCCTAAATTAAGGCAAAGTAACCCATCTACAAGGTCGGCGACAGCAAATACAGGTACTTTGTCTTAGTTGTTCACGCTGAATACATTCAGAGTGGCAGTGATACAAGTTTAAATGAAGCTACTTTTCACTTATATTAATATTATATTATGTTAATATGATGTACGGTTCAGTTAGCTTTGCACAAAAACAGACAGTTTAAAAGTTAGTTTTTACTGTGAGTACATTTCAGAGACTGTAGTTTTGTACTTTTACTTAAAGGGGACCTATCATGCAAAATGCACTTTTGTACGTCTTTTCTACATGAATATGTGTCCCCGGTGTTCCAGGGAACTCACCAAGTGTCAGAAAACACAACCCTCTCTATTTTCCTCCATACCCAAATCTCTTAAAAAGGGGCTGCAACGGATCTGATACAGACTGATCCAGATTTGAACACTTCTGTGACGTCACAGAAGTGGCGCTACGGCTATTGGGCCAACTCCACCAATCAGGAGGAGACAGCCACGGACATTGCCGTTGGAAAGCGCTGGAGACGCTGTAGTAAATATGCCAGGCCTGTAGATGGTGCTGTTCTCACAGAATCAGCCCATGCAAAGACAGTGTTAAATTGAGCGAAATGAGGAATGACTAAAATGCATGATCTGTTTGGTATTTTGAAAAATAAAAAGTATAAATATGCCTTATATAGGTATGGTCCTATACTATATTATTCAAATATAGCATGATAGGTCCACTTTAAGTAAAAAGTTGAATCAGTACTTTTTCCATACAACTAGAGCTAAGCTTCACTGATGTAAGAGGGTGTTCTCCTCTGACCGGCAGCTCGTGGTCCAATAATCTGTCTCTGATCCTCTTGCTTTATATAAAACCATGAAACAGATCTCCGGCTCCTTCACTTCTGATCGAGGTGGAGTCACAAGCTGAGGTAAGGAGGTCATTAATGCTCTCACACGGTTCATATATTATTATTGTGTTGTTTATTGAACTGCAATCCTTTTGAACTGTATTAACATATAATAGTCCGGCTCTGGGCTTCTTCTGCAAAAATACAATTGAAAGAAAACTGTTAATGTGCTTTTTAAAAAAAAATGATAGCTCATCTAAAAAACGAAATGCTATATTGTTTGTAATCCATATATTTATAACTCTTTATTCATTTATGTTGCATTTAGTAAAACCTTTAACTTTCTCCTAAATGATCGGATGCTTAATGTAAAAGTGTGGCAGTCTCATTTTGAAACAGGCTATCGACTATACTTCATATGTGACCTAGTATTGATATGAAATATGTCATTTGTGAAATATTTAAGACCCGTGCAAATGTGTTTCCTATGAAAAAGAATAATGGATCTGTTGATTGATTGTAGATTCACTTTATTCTCTGTGCATAACCAAGTAGTTGCTGTTGGTAAAAAAAAAAAAAGGTAAGCCCAAGAAAGCATTGAACTTCACATTTGCATAAACATAAGAAAAACATGTTCTATCTTCAGTCAAGTCTGCTCAAATGTAACAAAAGCTCTACTTAATAATGTGATGATTATGATTATTAGTTGAAGTTATAGATTCAATTAAATGTTTGAATTGACTGTAATTTGTATGCCTTTGTTATTACATTTCTCTCACTATGCAAAGTCATTTTCATTTTCTACAAATGCCCTACTTATGAATCCCCTGTGTTAGTTTGAATTGTTCACTTTAGGCACAGGATCCTCAAAATGAATTCCTCGTCTCTCGGCTTTCTTAATGTGTCGATTGTTGGGAGAAGTCGAGACTCCTTCAGTACGGCTGTGGCTAAAAATGTGATTGTCGTGGCTCTGGGTCTCATCATCAACTACATCAACGGTACTCTGATACACACCTTCAGGAAACACCAGGTACGAGTTATCTACATTTTCAAAGATTTAAGGCTTTTATCGTCATGTGTTCATACAGTGTAGAAATATCAATTACAATCTTAGCTCCTCCAACAGCGCAACACAATGAAACTGATAGAAACAGTTCAAATAGTGCAAGTAAATACATTTGAATAGAAATAGTGCAAGGATCTATCCTATCTATTATTATGTTTGTGTTTTCTATCATATTGATTATTATTCTAACCTCTGTTTGCTTGTTTTTAGATATATATACACTCAATACAATACACTCGCTGCTATATCATTGCAATATCTTTATTGTTAATAATATGCTATGATAACGTGCAATTATCTGCCACTACGTTTTATTTTACTAAAATACTGGTGATATTTACATTAATGATGTTTCCTGTAGTTATTTAAATGCTCTTTTTACTGCACTGTTAGTGTAAAATTATGCTGCTGTGTTTATTGTATTGTTGTTACTCTGGCACAACAATTTCCTTCGGGATAAATAAAGTCCTATCTTATCTTATACTGCATTCATTATACACTAAACCAGTGCTTCTCAAACTGTTTTCAGTAATGTACCCCCTTTGAAGCATTTTCTCAGCCAAGTACCCCCTGACCGACCCCGAACATTTTTGATCGAAAAAGCCTATATACATAATTCCAATATAGTGATGTTCCCTCAGTGTGTGATTTATGAACTCCTTCGTGCATGCATTACAACAAACTAAGGATATTTTCATCTTCATGCATGAAAAAAAATAGCATAACATTTTTATAAAACAGAGTTTTTCAATTTAAGTAATATGTTTAACAAACCAATGAACAAAATGATATATTGTGAAAAACTATAAAATACAATACACACATTTGACATGTTTATATGAGGACCCCCTTGGTGGTTCTAGGAATATTTTATATAAAATTGTGTTTTCTATTTAACTTATTGTACTAAGATTATTTTTTTAATCATGCATGGTATTTTTTTAATTAACCTTTTTTTTTGTTGAAATCTCATTACCTGCAGTACCCCAACGTACCCCCAGGGGTCCCCCATTTGAGAATCACTGCACTATACCATATGCATGCAAAACAATATGATATCCACTGATTTCATTCTTATGTCTGAGCTTTATTGCTGTATTATAATGTGTTTTCTATCATATTCATTATTGCTGTCACCTCTGTTGGCTTTAAACACAAATAATACGTGTCATTAGGCCCTAATCCTCTCCTGTACACAACAACATTAAAATCATCATAAAATATTTTAATTCATGTTTTTGAAATGTTTTAAATTCAATACATTTAAATAAAAAATGTAAAATTATTCAAATTAAAATGTAAGTATATGTACATTAGTCTGCTTCATTATTCATCCTTTTTTTTTAAGATTGCCTTCATTGTATATACTGTACTACAACCAGACTATTCATCTTCAACAATTTCCACACAGACTTTCTAATGAGATGTTAGTGTTTCTAACAAAAGGTATTCATACCGTCATTTCTTATGTCTTTCTTATTACATTTTCTCACTATTGCAAATCAATTTTGACCAAAACTACAAATGCACTTACTTCTGAAACCCCTGTGTTAGTTTGAATTGTTCACTTTCATTATAGGTGAATTAAAGTAACAGTATTTAATCTACCTTCATCACTGCAGGACAGAAACAAGTCCGCTTAAATCTCTTTTCCCGCAGATATTCTACATCAACCCCCGCTACATCCTCTTCATCCACCTGGTGGTGAACGACATGATCCAGCTGACCTCCACCATCAGCCTGTTCGTCTTCAGCTACGTCTTCTACAAAATCAATGTGTCTTTATGCTGCTTCATCATCCTCTGCTCTGTCTTCACCACACTCAACACCCCGATAAATCTGGCCGTGATGGCGGTGGAGTGCTTCATCGCTATCTGTCTACCTCTGAGGCACGCTGAGCTATGCACCATTCAAAGGATTTACATTCTGATTGGTTGGATGTGGACTTTGAGTGCGGTCGTAACGATGCCAGATGTGTTTATTATTCTGGCTACAGAGCCCATAGAGCTGTTTTACTCCACCATTGTCTGTAGTAAGGACAACCTGTTCCGACACCCTGTGATCCTTGAAAAGCGGGATGTCTCCTACATAATATACCTGATCTTTGTCTGGCTCACTCTCCTTTTCACTTACTTTAAGATCTTTCTAGCTGCTGAATCGGCTAAATCGGGTAACGGAGATGCAAAGAAAGCCAGAAATACAATCCTGCTCCATGGCTTTCAGCTGCTGCTGTGCATGCTAACGTACGTCTCACATACGATTAACAAGGCTCTGTACAACTGGTTCCCTCAACACTTTACACATTCTCTCTTCATGAGTTATATCATCGTGCAGATCCTCCCCAGGTTTGTCAGTCCCATCGTGTACGGGCTGCGAGACACGACGTTTAGGCAGCATTTGAAAAAGTATCAGTTGTGTTCAATTACAAAAAGCAAGCCTCAAACCATGGCCTGATTATTAGAGAATCAAGGCAAGGCAAGTTTATTTATTTACACTTTTCAACACAAGGCAATTCAAAGTGCTTTACAACAATGAAACACATTAGAAACATTAAAAAGCAAAGATAATGAAACATGAATAACACAGGTACATGAATGTCCCTTCTATATCAGACTAGCACATGATAACAGAGGCCCTACGTAGAGCTATGTAGCCGGATGTCTGACTACATGGATGACGCTCATGAGACACTGTGTTGAAGTTATGATAGCTATGTTCCTAAGATTGGCATCATGACACAGCCCCTAGAGAGATAGACATATGACTGTCATGTTTATTGATTACACAGGCCTTAGCTAATCTGAACTAATGTCAGAATACTGCTTTGAACCAGTATTCCTCCATCTTGTTGACTGTAACGCCCTCTCTATAAGCATCTGAAGGACACTGTTCTGGGTACTATTTGTCCCAAGCAGCCCTGTGTGTGATGACTACTTCCATTCTTGCAAGGATAATAAATACATGCATCCTGATATTGAAAATCAAGCCGGTCACCATGAACAAAAATTACAGTGTAGTGTAAGATATGAATAGTTCAATTAAAAGCAGCGGCAAAAAGAAAGTTTTCCGCCTGGATTTAAAAGTAGTCAGAGTTACAGCGGACCTGCAGGTTTCTGGGAGTTTGTTCCAGATATTTGGGAGGCGTGTGGCGCAGTGGATTAGTGAGTTGGTTTTCGGATCAGGTTCAAACCCCACTGCAGTCAGCATGTCGTTGTGTAACCCTAACCCTAACCCTCCTGTGGGGATTGCCCACTGTATTGAGTATGTAAGTAGCTTTGGATAAAAGCGTCTAACAAGTAACATGTAATGTAATATTTGGAAATACCCTAGCCAAATTCTCACATTCCTCTACCCCTAGTCTTCCCGTGAAATTATAGTTCTTTTGACACTTTTCTAACCTTTCTATATTCCTTTCATCCATTTTGAATCTCCAAACAGCACATTTTCCTGTTTTCCTGTTACCCGGACCCACCTTTGACCTTTAAGCCACTTTTCTTTTCAATTCCCAGCATTAGGATATTTAAACCTGTTTTAAGACTCCCCTCATGAATCTTTGGCCTTCAAACCACTTTTCAAGCTTTGTTGCTTCTGCAGTTAATCAGCCTCCAGAAACAGTGAAAGTAAGCATCAAGAAATCAGGCCTTGGGATTTTTTCAGCTGAAGTTTCTCAAAAAACTAGTTAATTACCATCTTACCAAGTAAACAACTGCAAACACATGACATCATGAAGGGCAGTGTACACACACACACACACACACACACACACACACACACACACACACACACACACACACACACACACACACACACACACACACACACACACACACACACACACACCCTCTTTATATTAAAATGATACGCATCTGATCTGCAGTGTGTTCGCCCTCTATGACCATAGGTTGGTACGTATTTGTTCTCTTTCCTCCTTTATGTTGAAACAGTTTAATGTTTTTTTGACATTTATATGATATCATGTTGTCTGTTGCATTAATATCAAATTGTATGATTGTGCTATAATATTATAATTCTTCAATAACGTTCACGTTGTTACCTTTTTTCTGTTTTAATGCTCAACAGCAAATGAGAATATGAGTCATTTCCACAGATGTGAAACTACAGGTGTGATTAATAACTGCTTTTCAGTAACACACAGGGACATTTAATGCAACATAACTAGAGTTAATCTGATATTACATTTCTATTTTAAATACTATACATGATCAGTATCTCTGCATTATTGATATATTGACGTTTATTGAAGTTGTATTTTCTTCTGTTTTTGACGTATTGCATTATTTATGTTTTTATTTTTACCTACAGTTTTATCTTTTTGAATTTAAAATATATTTAGTTTACTAATCCCTGCAGATTACATGGGCTCTTTAGTCTCTTGCACTTTTGGCTTTAAAAAGTCTAAAGTATACTGCATGTTGCATTGTTCGTGGATCCTGAGGCTTCTTTTCTACAAAACAACTGATCTGTAGCTGTTGTGCAAAAGCCTTTCAATCTTAAATTAAGGAGTTAAACCATTTTAGATCACTTCTAAAAAAGTTGCTATGATGCAAAGACATTTCCATTAAAAAGGCCCAAAAGATATGTCATTAACATTTAACATGTTAACCAACTTCAGTCTTGATTATAATTAATACATATTTATTGATTTTCTGAATTATTCACCCATGTCCACATTATTTTATCTATATGTTGCATGATTGAAGGAAACAGCCTTTCATTTTTAAATGTGAACCTTGAATGAGAGCAAATCTAATAGTTGAAGAAAAAGCACTATCATAGAAAAAATGCCTCAACATTTTTTATGTTAAGCTTATTTTATTATTATTTTAGTTAAATATTTTAACCAACATCAGTCCTGAAATAAATTAGCAAATATTTATACAGATTTAAGAATTTTAAAATGTAATGAAACATTTGACCTGCACTATTTTATTTATGATTATACTGCATGAGTTGGAANGTGGTTCGAGGAATATTTTATATAAAATTGTGTTTTCTATTTAACTTATTAAGGTTAATTAAAAAAATACCATGCATGATTAAAAAAATAATCTTAGTACAATAAGTTAAATAGAAAACACAATTTTATATAAAATATTCCTCGAACCACCATGGGGGTCCTCATATAAACATGGCAAATGTGTGTATTGTATTTTATAGTTTTTCACAATATATCATTTTGTTCATTGGTTTGTTAAACATATTACTTAAATTGAAAAACTCCTTGGAAAAATCTGTTTTATAAAAATGTTATTTTATTTTTTTTCATGCATGAAGATTAAAATATCCTTAGTTTGTTGTAATGCATGCACGAATGAGTTCATAAATCACACACTGAGGGAACATCACTATATTGTAATTATTTATATAGGCTTTTTCGATCAAAAATGTTCGGGGTCGGTCAGGGGGTACTTGGCTGAGAAAATGCTTCAAAGGGGGTATATTACTGAAAAAAGTTTGAGAAGCACTGCTCTTCAGTACAGGATAGCTCTGAGTGTTAGCGAGGCTTGCTAATGTAAACAAAGACGAGGTTACATACAAAACACGTCAGGCTGTCGATTTGACGTCATATCGGCAGCAAATCTGTATCTGCTCGTTGTACACCCGTTTTTAGAGATTTGGGTACGGAGGAAAAGAAAGAGGGTTTTATTTTCTGACGCTGCATGAGTTCCCCGACGCACCGGGGACACATATTTATGTATAAAAGACATCAAGAAGTGCATTTTGCATGATAGGTCCCCTTTAAGTCAGCTTTAAAAGTATTTGCTTTGCACTGAATGTTGGTATCAAAGAGAGAACAAAAGATGGCCTGTGGATGATTGTGCCGCATCGGAAATGACTCTAGCGTGAGTTATTTCCTCCGAACTCTCAGTCCACATCTTTGCTGTGCATACTTCCTTCTGGATGATCATCATACGGCCCGATCCCGCCTCAGGCCTCACAGTCACCAGCTCTCTTATACAGAAACTGTCCCTAATCAGAGCTCCTGCTGCATGTTGCCATGAGTCCCCAAGCAACACCCGCCAGCCGAGACCACACAATACCCATGATGCGCCACGAGAGCACCTCTGGTCAGCGTGCAGCGTGAAGTAGGGGTGGGCGATACTACAAGATCTGGATTCGATCCGATACCAAGTATTTCAGGGCCAGTATCACAGATACCGATACCTATACTTTTTAAAATGAAAAGCGTCTTATGTACTTTCATATAGGGGAGAGCTGCATGACATGATTTTTGAGCTGGAAGCATCATACATAGACTAAATCTGAATTCATCTTCATGATTAAAGACAGGACAGTTTTTATAGACAAATAAACGTTTTACTTTTGCAAATTTAAAGTGCAAACATGAAAAATAACAATACAAAGTGGCCACAGTAGCGAACTGCCTTCTTGGACACATCACAGTTCGATAAGTTTTCATTGATAGTTGTGAAATAGCTCCATACAACGCTCCTCTTTCTCTCAGCCAACATGCGCGTGTGAGTGTCGCACTCACGAGTCGCTGGCTGCTGCTGTCCTGCCCTGCTAGCTGCTGTCAGTCAGCTTGATAATCGGCGTTCAGGCAGGGAGCGCGCTGCGGGTGCGTGAGCCTCGAGGAGAGGAGGACAGCAGTGAAATTGGCATGAAATTGACGAGTAGAGGAGAGGGGGAAAAAAAGTATAAAAGTATCGATCCTATTGGCTCTAGTATCGATATTTTGAACCGTAACGTAATATCGGAAGTATCGATATTTTGGGATCGACCCGCCCACCCCTAGTGTGAAGATGACATGGCCATGTGTTCATACCCTTAGCTTTCCTGCTGTGTTGTGAACTGACAGTTTGCCTGTGGTGGTCATTACATTTGGACACTTTATCAACAAAATTAGGAAAGCTGTCAGGTTGGCCCCTGAATGACCTTTCAGCGATGCGTGTGACCCGATTGATCCACCACTTCATGTGCATATTGACCCAATATGTACTGGACTCAGGGGAAACACTTTGGCTCTCTGGCTGCCATGTTACATCAGGAATGGGCAGAGAGGAAAGACGCAGGATCACATACAGCGTGTACAATACACACAGACCAGGCACCAGGGTAATAACGGTTCTTCTTTACGCCTGTTAATGTTTAAAAACCAGTTCCCAGTAGTGTTCCATTAAGTGACGTAACACCGGGCTCTGAGAAGATTGAATTTAAGTTTTGAATATCATTCAGACCGTTTTAATTGAATCCTGAGCTATGATAAGCAGTGAAGGTGTTGATGAACACAGCTGGGAGGAAGCCATGAAGTGCCACAAGTCCCATAGTGACCTGGAGCAAGTCAATCTGCTCTTTGTTGGCACACTCAACCAGCACCTGTTCTGTCACACATGTGTTTATAGTCGTGTGAAAAAGAGCTGCACATAGTGATGAATTTCATTATCAATTATCTGTTTCCCCTCTTCCCCAAT